ATTGTTCCATTTGTAATGTGTACCGAACCGAAAGCCTCGTACCGAACGGTTCAATACGAATATGTGTATCGTTACACCCCTAATAAATTCATAATTATTTAATGTTTGAATTGTGGAATAATTTAAATAATGGTAATTCACAGATTTATTAAAATTTCAGTGTTGTTAAAAGCATTATTTCATGCTGAATGACACAAGTAAATACCTATTATTCTTTCTCTTGAATGCTGAGTAGACCAAGTTTGAGCATGTCTTCCTTCTTCTTCCAAGAGTGCCCTAATGAACATGACAATTCCAAAGGTTAAATAGGCATATTTAAGGTCAGTCTAATTACAGTAAGCAGAACATTCAGTATCATGAACAAAACCTCAGTACTTCTTTTTCACCTCTTTTGAGACTGCTGACTACCTCCATGCTCTGCCATGACCACACAACATGTCAACAACACTGAGGGCAACCAGAAAACCTACCAAGCCCATGGACCTTTCCCTAAGCAGAAACACAGTTAAGATCACTACTAACACTCTAATCTCCACTATTTTGTTTAATTGGTTAAACAGGTCCTTGAGCGCTTTAAACCTACCCTGACGATGCTTTTACATGAAAAATACGTTGGAGAACCAAATGGAAGCAAACTTTGAGGAACTACAGGCAGTATCCCTGTGAAGGTCCCCTGTGATTCCTCTGAAAGACTGAACTAAAAATAACTGCCACAATGGACCCTGTCTGTTTTCATTATGGCTCGCGATGTGCAGTTTTAAACAGACGACTGGAAAGACACTTCTGTGTTTCAGTAGTATCCAAAACACTGCAACAAACAGACCATCTTCAGGCAAGAGACCAACCTAACTTTTGACTCTAAGAATAAATGATGTTTGACAAATGACATATTACATATGCATATACTACATGCAATGGTGGATCTGCTACACATATTATGAAGTGGGGTTACATAAATAAGTAGCGGGTAAGACAACACAAAAATAGTTTAATCAAGATTTGTAATCTACTGTTGTGTGGCTTTATTTAATAACTCCACATGCTAATCTTTCATGTGCATTAGCTAATGCATCAGACAGCTTTACAATAGAATGAAAATCATAAATCAGCTTCAATGTTAAATGTACAGTGATTAAATCATAAAAACAGAGGCGTTAACCACTCTAACAAGGAAAGAGGGGTGGGGCTGTATGCAGACTTGCCAAATGGGCGGGCATTAGTCGCTCTGTTGCTGCAGTGACTAAAAATACATCTACGAGGCTCATGTTGGGGGTGTAAGGCTGTCAAACTTCACTACACATTTCTCTAAACAGACAACAGTCCAATGCGTATATTCACATTAGTGCATGGAGAAAGTTTTAGACACCCAACATGTTTTTAGAATAGCAGAATAAGGCGCTGTTCACTCATGCTTTTTTTGCATTTACAAATGTGTGACATGGGAAGTGGAATGGAAGATCTTTTAACTTAAGCGCCATGTCATGCATGAGTTGCTGCACAAGATCACTCACAGCACAGTGGTCAAAGATGTCCATCTAGCACGTTTTGATAGAAATACATCAGAAAATCAGCGCAGTGGAATGTAAAAAAAAAAAAAAGTTCTGCGTGAACAACCCCTAACAATGAAATATAAACATAAGACATTTTAATAGCTTTCAAAGACCCCTGCACTAGTCCTTAGAGCTGTCATGCCAGCCAAAGTCCATGAAGCAGAAGTAATTTTGGTATTAATATTTAATGTCACCAAGAGAATGTGGGAGGAGACTCATTTTAAGGGCACAGAAACAGGTCATTCATCCCTACGCTATATCAGATCATAGACAGTACTTTAACAAATATGAGTTTGAGGGATCTTTCAAAACTGGATGGATAGTAGAAGAACTCTGGAATCAATGAACGTGTTTGAATTATAAGAAAAATAAAAAATTATTGTGCTGATGTGGACTATATTCAAGCCTTGAAGGCACTACATGATCATTTAGGGAGAAGCAGCATTTAATTGATTTTGTGGAAGTTCTACCTGTATGCAGCCACTTCCAGTGCAAGGCCCATCTTGACCTGTAAGAGATCCTGATGGTCCTTCAGCTTCTCTGAGATGGTGTTAGACAGCATTCTGCGCTCATACTCCAGTTCTTCAATGATAGCCTGCAGGACAAGAAGTTAGATAGACTATTTTCTCTTTTACACACACAGTTCAATTGAAGATAAAAGACTAGTGTTTCTTCTAAAGGAATCTCATAAGTGATTAGAAAGCCATTGGTAAATTTAAGTTTAATTGATCTTTCAAACTCAGTTATGCCTTTTCAATAATGCACTATACCATTTATGAGCACACACCAATAATGAGTAGTATGCCATTTAACCTATGAAACCTATTTTTATCCCATCACTATCTTTCAGAAGGGTGTCCACTTGCATCTTATTGATCCAAAGTATATATTTGGGGGCTACTCTTTGTGTAATGCACCTGTTTGAAAGCTCTTCCAACATCACCCCCTGATGAAACCTTATTATTTATTTAAAGAGACAGGTGTTTTAATGACCGAAGGGTTATCTGCTTTAAAGTTAATTCACAAATCAAATACACAATATGCTAAATTCCTTTAAATTCTCCTTTCACTCCAATGGCTCCACACCCTCCACAACATACTTGTGATCTCAAGGGGTGGCATAAATATCATCACCTCTTTTAAATATTAGCTACGTTTGCCCTGCGTATTAGTATTACATAGCAATTAAATCTTTTGACTTGAATAATTGTATCAGTAAATGTTCATCTGTTATTGTTTTGGAGTCCAAATATTTGGCACTCAATAGCCTAGTTGCAGTAATATGTTAAGACTGACATCCTCCATGCAGCCCATTCAATTTAGCCCACAGTGGCACAACACTTTACTGATGCTTGCACTTTGCTTCAGCAACTGCTTATTTGTCACTCTCCCTGGAGAGAGGCAATATCATGAGATAAACCATTAATGCTCAATTTTTCCAAAGCACATTGAGCTAGAGATGATAAACATGGATATTGGCAGTGCGGAAGTGCTCCTCACTCCTCACACAAGATCCTAAGGGGCCCATTGAAAGAACAGGTGTTGGGATAATGTTCATTTAATTTGATGACTGCTTGGTTTCCACTATATGTGTGTTTTGTAATCTTTTATTTTACTCTTGGAAGAATTGTGTGGTGTGATGTGATATATCCTCAAAGTCCCCTTTGCAAAGACTGTTTTCTCGATTCTGACCTATCATATCACATATAAAAATAAAAAATTAACAACAAATGCTCAGTGTCTGTAAGTCAGAAAGATTAACCTTCAGACATGTTACTTTTTATATAACAGTTTAACAATATTATATTTTCATCATATTTATGAAAATGTTTTCGAAAAATATATTAAATCTATATTTAAAAAAAATGTATTTGATCATTTTTTACCTCTAATGTGGGCCAGTTTACCAGTTTATGGGACATTTTATGTTTAAAACGACGTACTTTTTACTTTTACGTTAATTTCATCTATGTAATAGCCTAGGTATCAACAAAAACATAGGATTTGTGCCATTAATGTTTTTTAAAAAGTCACGGGACACCAGTGTGTATATTATGTGCCATGCCTTGCTGCTGTCACTAGTACTGAGCACAGTGGGTGTGGCGCTCTTTTTGGAGGAGCATTCTACATCCTTACGCAATCACTGTTTTCACCAAAAAGGATGCCAGGAAATCTGTGGCAATGTGGTTTTTAGCTTTTTATTAATACAGGACCTTGTGTTTGGCCTTGATACCCACCTGATACTTGCAGATTTCAGCTCTTAAATGTTCTTGCATGTTCATGAGCTGCTCCTCAAGGTTCAACTGCACGTTGGTTTGTTTCTCAATCTCGTCACGCAGCCTCTTGAACTGTGATGCATATTCCCTCTTTTCCCTCTGAATGTCGTCCAGCCTCGCTTGGTCTGCTTTTATAGACTCTTCGATTTCCTCTACCTTCAGGCGGTACATGTCCAAAGTCCCCTGCCAGCTTTCAGTGAAGTTGGCCGCATACTCCTGCACCTCTTCCATCGTAACTGCTGGAGGTGCGTGATACGTTTGAGTCACAACGCGTACAGCTCGGGAGTGCACCTGGTCCCTCAGGTGGGCGATTTCCTTTCTATGGGCATCTTCCAAAAACTTATATTCGTTTTCAAGCTCAATGAGGCGATCTTCCAAAGCACTGTTGGTCTTAAAAGCATTATGGAGGTGCCTCTCGCAGCCTTTCAGCTCCGTGTCGACGCCTTTGCTCACCGAAGCCTCCTCTGAACGCATCGCTTGAAGCATCTGAAGTTCATTGCGCAGCTTCTGTCGCTCCATCTCTGCTCTGCATTTCTCGAAAGATAAACGCTCCACCAGTCTCCTCATTTCCCGTAGCTCGGACATGTGTTTGTTTTCCCATTCTCCAGACCTGTTTTTTTGGATTGAATTAATTTCGCTTATCAAGCTGGTATTTTCTTGTTCCAACTGTTTTGCGCGCATTAGGTACTGGCTGAGTCTTTGGTTGAGCTCCTGCAGTTGGAGCTTCTCGCTCTCAAACGGTTCCCTCATTCGAAACATTTTCCTTTGTAATTGTGTGAATCTAATAGCTTTGTTTTACGCTTAAATGTGCTAAGTTTATCAGTTATTTCGTTGTCATCAGTATTCTGCGTCGGTGAGAAGCGCAGGGCGGAGGCAGAGTCGAACAAGTGCGGAGGATTTGAGCTGATCCCATGTCCCGTTAGCGAGTCCTACTGTGGTGACTGTTGAGCTTATGAATATTAATTTGCTGAAACAAATATGCGCGAGGCAGTTGAATATTAATTAGGTTATGTGACTGGACGCCCCGGGAAGTTTGCTTAACAAAGTCAGCTCGCTGTAATTAATATTCATGAATCAGTCCTTCGCCATAGTTGGTTGTACAAACTCCGTCCCGTCTAGTGAGATAGGAAGGAGTGCGTCTTTACTCTATGATAGGATATGAGATGGCTCTCCCATGTGGAGAAAAATGGACAATGCACTCCCTCTTGTACAAGCCTCAGTTGCGCAAAGTGTCACGCTCGGTAACAGCCATATACAGGACATTTAAAATATATAATATTACAGTTGTATGAATTGCGTTACGTTCATCTTCAGTTATAAAAAGGTGGTAAACCGTTGAGTTTAAATATAATAAAGCCTCATCTCGATGGACAATTCTCGCGAAATTGTAGTTTTAACAGGTAGGTGGATTATTCTGGGTTGGTACGTCGAGCCAAAGTTGCGTTGCAGTTGCAATGGTTTCGCTGTGCAACCCGTGCAGTTTATATTTAAAAAAGCGTCGCCTTAATCGTATGTTACTTTATGTCACACCACACGTGGATAATTAATTTATCTGTTTTACTAGGTTTTGGTCCTTTCCGACAATATGTTGTGAATCCAAGTTGGGAGGCAGCTAAGGTAGGCCTACATCAAAGCCATTTTTGATAAGCAGGTGTTGGTCGTGTCTAGAGACCATTTTAAAATAAATTATTATTGATTTCTAAAGTGTTTGGGCAATCTGACCAAATTATAGGAGTAAACAACCAATTCCAATCACGTATTTTTTAAAATTTCTTAAACTAAAACAAAAGGCACAATTTGTAACTATATCTAATTGTGCATTTTGTGTTTACTTTTTGTATCTCACGTTTTAACAGAATGCTATTTTAAAGGTTGAACAGTTACTGTAAAAATACAAATAACATTTGAAACTGATGTACATGGTATAAACTCGTATAAATGTGCTTACAATACAGCGACTGTAAAGTCATTATAACTTCTCGTCAGTCAGATGGACGCACTATGGCCACACTTTGTTGTTTAAACAGGGTTTGAAGATGGCAGGACTTGGATTGGGCATAGAGGTCCATATTAAGGAGATTCCTGTCAGTTATGCAAAATCCCAACAAGTCATTGATGATATCTGGCAGACGATGACTCCAAAGGTAACTTTAAACAGGTAAACTAATATATACACACAGACCAGCTGCCGAGGAGGAACACTTCATCACAGAGGAGAGATTACAAGATGCTTTGTTAAATATTCTGAGATTATATGTCTTAACACTGAAGGTATTTTGATACAAAAGAGTGATAGAGACTTTTTCTCTTTGTGATGGGCAGGTTGTTATCCATTTGGGCATAGCTCCAGGAGCCAAAGGCATCACACTGGAGCAAACAGGGAAGAACCACTGCTACAAAGACAGGGATGTGAGTGGTCTGTGCCCTGATCGTCACTGCTGCATTGAGGGAGGACCAGAACGACTGGACTCCATCATAGACATGAGGTCCCTTAGCAAGCATTTAAAAAGTATGGGGCTTGATGTCATCTACTCTAGGGACGCTGGGAGGTAATGAGACTAACATCGAAAATATTGTCTATAAAGGATAATTGTGTTAAAGTCTTGTAAATTAATTCAACAAAGTATTAAGTGTGCTACTTTTATTTGTGAATACTGTTGTTGAGTTAACAAATGTTGAAATGGCATGTATACACTAACAGTAAGTTTACAACTTGCAGGTACCTGTGTGATTTTGTATACTACTATTCGCTGTACCGTGGGCAGGGAAAGGCTGCGCTGATCCATGTGCCAGCCTCAGGCAGCGTGGCAAGCTCAGAGAGACTGGTACCACAACTCCAGACCGTCATCCAGGCTGTGTTACGCCAGCTGGACCGCCGTGCACACACAACCTCAGGACAGGTAGAAAACAATAAAGAAAACATCCTCCACAAAACATAATCCTATCACCGTTTACATAGCGGAAATGCAATAAGTGACACTCGACACAGGCCTTCAGACTCATTCATTTTTTAATTCAAAATTTAAGAAAAAAAGAAAATACATGAAAATTCTTCAGATATACATTAAGCCAATGGCATGTAAAAAGTCTACCATCTCAACTGGTGGTGAGGAGAAAACTGAAAAACAGGAGGCCTTAGATACATAACTTACAAGAAGGCGAGAGTACCAGCCAAGCCGTTTCACCATCAGTTTCTACCAAGCAATGCAGTGACACAGAGATTTTTATTTTTCCTAATTTTTCGTTTCTTTTTTTGTGAAAGGAAAATAAAAAGTGTTATTAAACTCTTTTCAGTACAGTAGATCAAGGCCCCTTTTGAAATTTGTCGGAATGCCAAGCAAAAACAACAGTGCCTGGGAAATGATGTCTGTGAAACCTCAAGCTCATTATTGCAATTAAAATGCATACATGCATCTTTTCTAAACCTGAGGTTTTGCATTATGAAGAAATAGAATAAAGTAATAATAGTTCTTATGATAGTTGAGGAAAAAAAATCTTTCAGTCAATCTACCTTCAGGTTTGCAGAGAACTTGCATTGCAACATAAGCTATTTCTACTGTAAACTTGTCTCTTTTTATTTTAAATTCTAGTCATGTTCTCTCTCTCTGTGTCATGACTACCCGTAATCTACTGGACATCGCTGTCCTATTTGTGTCTGTGTATATGTGTGTTTCTGTAGATCTGTAACCTACTGGTAACTAAGGAACCTTGGCAGCATTCAATGAAAACTGACATTCACTTTGCAACAGGCCAATGCTTTTGTCCATATTCATTACAGAAAGAAAAAAAGAAACAGAAATAAATAGTGATATCTATTATTTTCCCATTATAAACACATCAAAATCTTAATCACTACATCTACATGTGATACACTCCCACCCATATACATACGCAACAATACAAGCACAAGGGCTTTTATAGAATGGTTATTTCGATCATCTTGTTGTACCACACAGAATAATATTCTTTTCAAACAATGTGCCTCTCAGCAACCCGACCAGGTCTTTTCCTACAAGCGCCCTTGTTTCCAACCCCTGGAGTTCAAAAGATCCAAAATATTAAAGTCAAAGAACATTTTTAAGTGCCATGAAACAGAAGGACCAGGGGCTGTAAGGAATCCACTCTGTAATTCTCGGAATCCACTTTGCATTTTAATCGTCTGACCCATTGTGGTTTTTTAATGGTTATTTAGAGAGAGAAAGCATGTTGCTGAGATCCACCGCCTACCCAATGCCATTGGAAAGACTATTTGTAGTCTCTGTAAAGCAGCATGTTGTCAGCAGCAGTAGAAAAGAGAGGCAAAACGACAGCCCTTTCTCTCTCTAGAGAATGATGTCGATGAATACGGTGACAACAATTGGCCCTTTCTATATACTCACTAGACACGTGGAGTGCATCTGACCAAACAAATCAGCTGGAATGTTTTTCCAGGTAGGTTTATGAGAAGGGAAAAAAAATCCACTGGTTTGTTGTAAGAAAGTGTTACAAAATCCACATTATGCATTCAACTGTTAGATGCTTTGGCCAAAAGGTTAAAAAAAATTATCTGATTGTAAAAAAAAAACCAGTGGTATTTATAAACTAGGTGAAGTTATCAGTGTGCATTAAAGTCACCTTCAATTATAGGCTACTGAAAAAAGTAGGAGACCTAACATTTTTGTGCAGAAGCACAGTGTGCCTGAGAAGGGCATGCTGGGAAACAGGATGTCCAGTGCTATGATCTCTGTCGATGCTGCAGATGAGTTACTGAATAAGATCATGTAAGCTAATGAAATTTAATGGGAAAAAAATCATGTACAGTTTTTCTTGTTGGCTTAACTGTGATGTTATGTTAATTACATGAATTACACTTCATGTGACTTTTCTTGCTGCAACTGTTTTGATTTGCCAGAATTTGCATTCTTGACTTGCTCTCCTAAACCTTTACGAACAGTTTCATCTATTAGATGGTGGATAAGGAGAGATCACTGAAAAAGAATATTAAATACAGAGGAAAAACACTGATAGCAACTACGTTTTATCTGTGGTCCATCATGTTGAAACCTTCTGGTGAATTAGGCATTTTAATATGATTATTTAAAAAGTACTGCAGCTTGATTGAAAGCAGTGGGATTTTTGTGTTGCTGGGCATGTGATAAGGGATGCAAGAGACACGCCATTAGGAATCCCATAGGCATGTAAGCTCACACCATGACTTCCTCTCTCTCTATTCCTGGGAGCTCGTGCTTTGTGGTGCTTATTAAAGAGTTGTTTTTTTTTTTTAAATCAGAGACAAGACAGAGGATGATAATGTGTCCTCTACAGAAAAAAAGTGAGATGTATTTTATAATTTCATCACTTACACATTTAAAATAAAAGAGAATGAGGTAGATAGATGCTGAAGGAAATGAAAAAAGAAAGTCCCCCAGTCATGACATCATGCATGTAGAATTCAGACTTTATACTAAATCTTAAGGGCATTTGTACAGTGATTTCAACTGGTATCACCAAAAAAAAAAAGAAAGAAAAGAAATAAATACCCCTTCAAAGGGGGGAAATAACCTTCTAAGACAGGATAAACAAGTCCTGGGTAACGTTCCCAAATGCACATGGAGAAATCCTTCAAAATGAAACTTTTTAAAGCCAACTAGCCAGGGAAACCTACAGTTTTATTTAGCATTCTTTGAGCAAACCGATCACGTTTCTGAATTTGAACCGGTTCTTATTTGTTTGGTTACAGATGGCGTATTTCATCAGGAAGGTTAGTGTTCGTTGCATGGATTTATAAAGTCGACGTGGGTTGTGCGTGACACTAAAGCAGAGATTATGAACGTATTTTGTTTGGAGGCATTACAGGCTGGTTGGGGTATGTGAGACAAATTAAGACAACCCAATTAGCCCTGTTAGTTGCTATTCAGTTACATGGATGGGTTCTAAAAATAGTCTATGAGGGTAAAGAAACGTCAATGAAACCTTCTATGACTATGCCTGGCAGGAGGCATGAGCACAGACACTGAGATACTGTACGGTTTACTACACTGTAAGGAGAGGCCGGCAACCTAAAAAAGCAGAGGAGGAATCAACTATGATGCGAATGTCTGGAGAACAAAACCATAACATTAACCTGAGATTGAGCTGCACCACATGAGCAGGTACAATGGTAGACAACTGTATCAAGGGTGCCTAAAGTTCACATGCAGAGCTAAAAAGTTTGTAGTAACTAATAATAATAATAATATAGTTAGAAAACACAAGGCAATGGACATGTGGCAATGCAGACAACCTCTTAGGGAGAAAAAAAATAAAAATAAATTGCTATTCTTTTTTTTGTATGTATTTATTTATTTATTTTTTTGCAAGAAGAATATAAAGCATAAGAAAATGGACTGTAGTGGAGATATCATAAAATATTAAACCTAAAGGATTTCTTTTACACACACATATATATGTGTATCAGAACTGTAAAAAAGTTATCAAAAGTGACTCAAACCAATGATGTGTGTAAATGATCTTGTGGTCTAACATAGAACTGTAAGACCCTTCTTAGAATCATATGAATTGTACAGAGAGACTAATGACTAGTCTAAAAAAAAATACCTGCTGTGTACAATGCCTCAAGTCATCTCACAAAACAGATGTCAAAACAGATGAAGCCCCTGTATTCAGTTTGCTTCACGATCAAGCCGATCCCTTATAATTCATACCCGCCTCTCCGCAGCGCACCAATCTCTTCACCTTCGCGATTAGCGACGCGCTCTTTTCTTTCGACTTGAGACATCGCTCTCACAGAGGCTCAGATGTTTATTTATAAATGAAACTAATAAAATAATAAAAAGACAAAAACAATTGAAATGAAAATTGAAAAAAGCTCATTCAAAATGATAAGACATTATAACCCACATAAATCATAAGTATCAACACGTCAGCATTGTGGTGGTAACAGAAGTAAGCTCTTCCCTTTTTTTTTCTTTTCAGAAAATGTACAAATCTCATTTTCATGAACAAATCTCATACTCATTGCACCACAGTGCAAACTAGCAATAATAATGTCTATAAAATCTCATAAACTCCGTGTTCAGACTAACAATCTCCACCCATCAACAGGTGGCAGTGTTCACTAGAGTTAGATCACACAGGAGTGTTGTGGAACAGACAACTTCTAGAACATTTTGTGGTCGTACACACTGAGAAGTGCACTAAGCCAGAACTGCTATCCTAAACACTCCACAGACTCATCCTAAGTGAACAGCTGAGAACACATGAAAAGCAAGAGCCAAAACAACACAAAAAAACAACAACATCAAAAAAAATCATAAAACCCATGATCATAACAGTTTGGTGTAGTACTGTCCCACCACATCTTGGTAAAACACACAAACAAGCTAAGAATAGCGTCAGCGCTCACTGGCACACTGAAATACATTTTAAGTGACCTCCAGCCACAGGTTCAGAGCAGAGCGGGGCGCCGTAGCCACACAACACAGAGGCCTTCTCGCAAGGACATTCCACAGTATCGGGTCAAATAACTGACGGAAAGTTAAACTTTTCTGTGGCGTCAACTTCTGAGATGTTCTCTCATAATAAAGGCAAGATTTTTGGAACCCAGGCCAGGCGATCGCGAGTAACCTGCCTGTTTGGCATTTGTTGGATCACAAATTCATAGCAGAGGCCATCTGTCGTTACTCACTGAAGTGAATTCAGTGAGTAACGAAATGTGATAAATCTTGCCCGCTGTCTGCGCTCACTATTGCTTTTCCAAAACCCATTGAGCTACCTTCCTGTCTACTGCCTCTATGGACGGCTGCCTTCTAAGGCAGCATCCTAACTGAAATAAAACCTCACAAGTTACTGATTTGGAGCGCTCTACAAAGCCAGCAACTCCGCAAATGGCGTTCAGCACAAGAGACTCAACTCAAAATTGATTCCAAAAGAGTTTGATGTTAGCACGTTGCTAAGCTAACAGAAAACAAACAAACAAAAAATAAACTAATACCTGCCTGCCATTTTATACATTTTTTTCCCCACTGAGCATTTCTAATAAAATGTTACATTATTACTGTTTTTACTGTATTTTCAGATAAAACATTTAAAAAATCTTCCTCAACATTTGAATGTTAGAGTCGGCATGACAAAAGCATGACTTTGATGTCTAGGTAGGGTGCTCACTAGGTTTTGGAACAAAGCTACTGACAGTCAGGGACAATTATGGAACAAAATTGAAATGTATTGAATCATTAAAATGATCTAATAACAGATGAATGATATACTATTTAAAAAGGAGCAAAACTGCTACAAATATGTCATTGTTGAACAGTTTTGAGATAAAAATGTCCAAATAGTGAGCACAACATTATGAGGAACGAACCCTTGCTTTGTTCAAGCAAGTGTTCAATGGATCTACAAGCTGTTTCTGAATCTCTGCCCTTGTATTTCAGCCAAATATTACTTAAATTCTCATGATATCATAAAAATGTGAGCGACATCCCGACTTCATGATGTTTAGCTGAGTGTAATGATGAGATGCAGATGACAAAGTATGAGCGTCTTTATAGCGCTAGTGTAGCACAGCATATGTTCAATCCTCCTCTCTCGTGCAATCAGGACATCTCATCGTAGCTGCCATGGAAACCGGGGGTTTGTGTTTCCATAACAGTTGAGACAAGAAAGAATGACTGAGGGAGAAAGGGGTCAGGAGAAACGGACGGACAGACCTCATGCCTCGCTACTGACATCAGCCCAGAAAAGGAGAACGGCAGACCGGATCAGTGACGCATGCAGACACGCTCCGAAGAAGATGTGAAGATAAGCACGAGAAGCTCTTAATAAAAAGTAGAGCAGCGTGGGTCACCGTTCCGGTCACCCCATGGGAACCACACATTCTCCCTTCTATGGACGGAGGCTCCCTGACAACATGATGTCACCTGTCTCCTTTTAACCCGTGACGCAAATGTCACCAGCCGTGCTTTCGCTTGGCCTGACGTTAGCAGCAGCATCTGGTGACATACTATGAACATTTTAGCGTGATATCGCATCCCTAAATAGACAAGAGCCGGTTAGAGGACAAAGGGTTAACATTGTAAAGCAGAGTGCCAAATTTGGGAGCAAAGTGCAGTTGGTGGACTCACAACATGTCGGGACAGTTGTCCGGTTTATCCAGAAGTCCTCCCTCCATGACGAAGCGCAGTACCTGTTCGTTGGACATACCCTGGTAGGGCTGCTCTGCTAAAGTGGCGATCTCCCATAAAACCACGCCGAATGACCTGAAGAAAGAGGAACTGGTTAAAATAACTTTGCAGGAGCAACACAAAGGCACTTACTGTAAATCACGCTAAATGTCACAAAACCCATTTGTCCGATTACGTCAGCAGCCGCACACATCAAGTAACTCAATCCAGTCGGACGAGGACAAAGAGGAAAGGAATGAGGCCATTTAAGGTCAAGAGATGCACGAAGAGCCGCTCTGAGACAATTGCTGTCCTGCGGAGCATCACTGAAAGGCTGCGGATGCATCAGTGTTTTTTTTTCTTTTTTTCTAGCCTGGAACAACAAAATGCTCATTTTCAAAACAGCGCGAAAGTCGCGAACACCACTGACCTGAACTTTTCTCTTTTAGTGTGGTGTTTTTGTTAGCCCTGTGTTCCTCATTAATGAAAATGAGTCCATATATTAGCCGGCGGCCGGTGAGAAAGTGCAGCAGCGGAGCAGAAAGTCGGCAAACCCCAAATAAAAACCACACAAAGAGCGTACTGTTGCCAGTCGTTATTCATTAGTTCTTGGAGGACAAATTTTCGACATTGGCCGAGGATCTGAGACAAAGCTCAACACCCTTTAAAACAGGACTGTTACAACAGTGACTTGCATCTAATTGGCTGCAACATCTGCGTGTTGAAAGACAAAACCGCATTAGAGCAGGACTTTTTCAGGGGAAGGAAACAAACAAAGACACCTAACGGCGAGGTTTATGGGAGTACGAGATGGGAGCTCGCGGTGGCTCTTTTCATCTCGGGGACTTCAAAAGTGGCAGATACGGACGGAGGGACAGGGAGGCGGGTCTGCGCTGGCACATCAACCCCATCATTACCAAACATCTGGAGGAGGTTAGGAGCGCACCGAGAGACAGAGCTGTGGGATGCTGGAGATTGGGAAACTGCAGAATTGGAAGAGTCTGTCTATGGCACCGTGACTCTGTTCTACTGAATCGCCGCTGCTGGGACTAAAGCTGTGGAGAGACAGTCTGTCTGAGACAAAGAGACAATGTGTTTGGGCACTATTAACTAATTAATTTAATAAAATAATTTTTTTAAAGAATAACTTAAGTTTGTTGTAATATTTTCTACATATTTATTTATTTTATGCAGGGTTTTATAAATGGATATATAAAACATTCCTTTATTTTATGAAAGGGGTTCCACAAAAGGTGAAATGGGGGACACTGACATCATTATGGCAAAAAAAAAAAAATCTGATCTATACCAATGTGGTAAATTTATTAATTTTATGCCAATGTTTATGGCCACTACAGAATTCCTACACTTCCGTTTACATTAAAGTAAAGAAGTATGTACTCATTACAGTTCAAAAGTTTGGGGTTTCCACAAAAATATTAAACAGCATGTTTTCAACATTGATAATAATAAGAAATATGAAAGAAGAAATGATCACCAAATCACCACATTAGAATTATTTTTGATATAATGTGACACTGAAAATTGAATTAATGACTGTGGAAAATTCAACAAATCTACTGTTTATTTGATCAAATAAATGCAGCCTTGACCATAAAAAACATTAACATTTTTTTTACTAATTTTTGACCGATAGGGTGTGTCCAAATGTTTGACCCGTATTGTACTTGCCAGCCCGAATCAATCCAAACACACATACACACTGCAGTAAAACAACAAAGTCTTGCATTTATGTGTGTGTGGAAAAACGTCAGAGAGAACAGGCGGCTCATACCAGACATCAGAATTTGTTGTGAACACTCCATCTTTCAAAGACTCCGGGGACATCCAGCGCACTGGCAACAGCCCTTTGCCTCCTTTGCGATAGTAATCAGTCTCGTAGATGTCCCTTGTCATGCCAAAGTCTAAACACATGAAGAGAGCAAACATGAAGGGTCACAGTCACACCTTTCAACCTATTGTTGTATCAAATAGATTCTTGAATATATGGATTTATGTGACGTGTATCACAGATTTACCTCCAATTTTAACTGTGAAGTCTTCAGCAACCATGCAATTTCTGGCAGCCAGGTCCCGATGGACAAACTTGTTGGCATTGAGGTATGCCATCCCGTCCGCTATCTCACCGGCCATCTGAATCATCTTCTTCAGCGGAGGCAAAGACTGGCTGCTAGAGCCCTGCTACATGGCAGAAAAAGAGCACAAAGGTTGCATTTAACACTTCTGCTTCTCTCTTTCTCTACTACAAACCCTTTCTGAACAGCTGTCTGAAATATCGAGTAGATTTAAAGAACTGTGAACATTAACTTAAAGGGGGCATGAGATGCTGGCCATAGATCTGAGCAGAAAAAATTAAGATAATAAGCGTAATTAAGTGTATTTTTAAACTAAAAAGCAGTGAGATAAATTATGGGATAAAAACCAGAGCAGACGGGATTGTTTCTGTACCTCTTTGGAACGGAGGGAACGCAAGTAGCTCTTCAGATCGCCCCGTGTCATCAGCTCCATTATAACTAGAGTGGGCTGTCCTTGTGAAACCACACCCAAAAGTCGCACCTAAACCAGGGTACAAAAAAAATGAAATTACACTGTGACACTATGAAAACACAGAGAAACTTGTGTCTGCACAATCTGTTTGAAAAGCATCGTTTTGCCATTTGTTTGGTGCTGCCAGAAATTATACACTTACATAAGTATCTTTAAGAATTTCAAAGTACGAGTTGTTGGCAAAACCAAATGCTGGATGAGATTTTTCCCTCGTTCTTACCACATGGTGACAGTTGAACTCCTTCATAACTGAAGCTTCGTTCAAGAACTCAATGCGTTCACGCATACTGGCGGATTCATTTACAGTCTTGATGGCCACTCTGGTCTCAGGTTCATCTTTGACGACGCCCTTTGCAATGCCCTCATACACCATACCAAACGAGCCCTGACCCAGCTCACGACACATGGTGATTTTCTCCCGAGCCACTTCCCATTCATCTGGTACATACACTGAGCACATTTGAACAGGCAGTGCAGAGTTACATACATGACAGTAGCAATGAAAAAAAATTATATTTCAATAATTCAATATTTTTTTAAACATCAAAACATTGTTAAAATGTATATACAATAGTGCTGTCAAACGATTAATCGCAATTAATCGCATCCAAAATAAAAGTTTTTGTTTACATAATATATGTGTGTATACTGTGTATATTTATTATGTATATATAAATACACACACATGCATGTACATATTTAAGAAAAATATGTTAAGTTTATACATTTAAAATATTTGTATATAATATCAATATAAATATATACATGGAAATATTTTCAAAATATATACTGTATGCGTGTGTATTTATATATACATAATAAATATACACAGTATACACACATATATTATGTAAACAAAAACTTTTATTTTGGATGCGATTAATCGCGATTAATCATTTGACAGCATTAATATAAAACAAATAATATATTGTGAAATATTTTTAAAATTTTTATTTTGTTTTTATTCTTCTTTTTCTTACCTTATTGAAAAACTTTTTTTTTCTTTCTTTCTTTTTTTTTCTTTTAAACAAACCATACCAGAAAACTGCAAAAATACTTAAGAAAATCAGTTAAACAAAGTTGAGATAATACTCACTTTCAAAGGGACTGAAGTATTCAGGGTTTACAGAAGCATATAGCACACCATTTCCTAACCTGTCACTATTCCTGAAAGGAAACGCATAAAAACACAATGAAAAACAGTACTGGACACTGGAAATTAAAATGAAGTCTATTTTTTACTAGATGGGACATCAACCTCTTTTTGGTGACAAAGATGACAACGGAGATCATTGCAGCGAGCAACACTAGCACTATAATAGGAATGATGATGGCCAGTAAGATGGCATTATCATAATTTCCTGTAAGAAAGAAGGACATTTGTACAGAATTAAGAACTAAATATGACATTAGACTGAAAGAGGCCTCTCTACATTTCCATTAAATAAGCTATTTTAAAGTTATCAGTACCTCCTAAAAATAAAATCATTGGTTTCTTATGGGCATTCTTACTTTTAGGGGGTGGCACATAGAAGGACACTGGTTCAGTCCACGACCCATTCCCAGCCAAAGATGTGGCTCTGACCCGGGCAGAATAATTTCCAGAGGGCAAATTGCTAAGCTGAGCTCCTCGCAGCACTCTGTACTGCTGCCGTGATACACACTCATGCTTCTCGGGCTGTAACACACACACACACACACATACACAGTAGGTTTGTGGCATTTGCTGCAGTTTTAACTATTTCTTAATGGTGTATGAGTTAGTTGTCGCACTAACCTCAGTTCCCAGACGATATTTGATCTCATACATGAGGATCAGTCCATTAGGGTGATGAGGTTCAGGCCACCGCAGCAGCACTGTTCCTTCTCCCTTCTCATCCCTCTCCTGAGTTACAGTGCCGGGAATATCATCCGCTTTGTCTGGGGAAGATCATAACTGTGCTTAAGGCCAGTGCTTTCTTACAGTAATTCAATAAGATTTCAATTGCATTATGGTTTTAATTGCTGTTAACATGACCAGGATAGCAAAATGAAAAAAAAAATCATGTTGTAGGCACAGTGGAAAATTACTGGAATTTTTATATTTCGCTGGCATGGATATGTAGTCACTTGTGCATGAGTTTGGTTTGTTGGTTTTGCTGACCTGCTGGTTTGGTTCTAGAGAACACAAAAGCTGCGGCACTGCAGCGGTGGATCTCGTAGTTACAGGCGTGGATGTCGATGCGGTACACGGTGAAGGGCTGCAGGTTGGATATCTCCATGAACTCTGTAAAGACTTTGTCCTCGGAGAAAGGGTACTCTTTCTCATGCAGCTTTGGGTCAGTGATGTTACTCTCCATTCCTGTGATGTTCCTGCTTGCACCTTGCAGCAGTGTGCCATTGGCCACTCCAAACAGGTCTCGCCGCTTCCTGTCTGGAGGTCTGAGAACATGAAAAAAAAAGTTAAATAGGAAGAGGAAAGGAGGAGAGGAGAGGAAGGAATAGGAAAAGCAGAGGAAATAGAAGGAGGAAAGAAAGAGAAGGGAAAGGAAAGGGGGGAAAATGACAGGAAAGAGAAATGGAAAGGACAGAGAAAATCAAATGACAGGAAATGGAAAATATTGGTAACAGAAAAAGGAAAGAGAATGGGAAATAAGGAAAGGACAGAAAAAGAAAATAGTAAAATAACAGTGATAAGGAAAAGGAAAGAGGAAAGGAAAAGGAAACAGAGTATTAAATGACAGTAAGAAAGGAAAGGAAAGGGAAAATCAATTGAAAGGGAATGGAAAATGATAGGAAACAGAAAGAAGGACATGGGAAAAGGAAATTAAACTGTGGAAATGAAAGAGTACAGAAAAGTGGAAAAGGAAATAGTAAATGAGCAAGTAAATAAAATTGGAAAGGTAAAGGGGAAAAGGACAGGAGTAGTAAATGACAATAAGAAAGGAAAGGAAAGGAAAGGAAAGGAAAGGAAAGGGAAAGAGGAAAGGGAAGGAAGTAGTAAATGACAATAAGAAAGGAAAGGAAACAGAAAAGGCAATGAGGAAAGAGAAAAGGGAAGGAAGTAGTAAATGACAATAAGAAAGGAAAGGAAAGCAGGAAAGACGAAAAGAAATGGAAGTAGTAAATGACAGCAAAAAAAAAAGTAAGAAAAGGAAATGAAGGTAAAAAGAAAAAAAGAGGTAAAGGAAATGAAGTAGTAAACGACAGTAAGAGATCATACAAAGATGTAGAGCAGTCAGCCAGTGTCAGCAGAGTCTGCACTGGTTTAAAAGCATACAAGCCAATTACTGTGCACAATTACTCTACAACACACACCACTTCCTTTAACGCGCAAGTCTAATTTTCTAATGTCCTACTAACAGGTCTCTTAGTAACACTGACTTGCATTACTCTACAACCTACAGAGCTCCTTTTTCTCTTCTGGATCTTATTAATCATTTAGCATCCTGAAACAACGGCTCTGTGTAGTTAATGCTGCTCAATGTGAAAGCACGCACGTGATGGAGATTTACCGCTGATTACAGAACCGGCTTTCTGACAAGATGCGCATTAAATATCGCATGCGATTTATCGTGCAGCCCTAGTATATACTTGCAAATGAAGCAATACACATACAACAAAAATTTCTGCAGATGAGAAAATGAAATGAGTAGGCATATTTGGAACCAATATCGAACATCCATAATAATGATATGACCAACTCTGGCTCTGACGGTAGAGACAGTGCATGAGGCGATAAGCAAACTAAGGCGCTGGCATCAGGTCAACCCTGCCGCCACTAAAGACATGCAAGTCAGCAGCAACCACAAGAGCTTACCAGACGCCAACGGACCCACTGCCACTTCACATATATGACTAGGGCAGTGTCACAGCCTTACCTAGAGCCACATTTAGGAGACACGTAACGATTTGCTCGCTCAGGATCTCTGTAAAAATTCAATAGTCAGACCAAACAATATCATCCACCGCAGATGGGAAAGACAGGATGGTTTGAGATGAACATGGGGAAACCCCAGTGTGCCAAACAAATACAAGAGAGGAAAGTGATATTGCCAGACACAAAGACTGACAGACAATAAGTGGAGACAGACAATACAAGTTTTCAGCTTTGTCTAAAACAGTTTGGGAATTATAACTAGTTATAGATTGATGTATTGAACACATAACAACTGATAACTGTGGCTTCTTGGCTGATTACCAGATTCCTTTTTTTGTCAGTTTCAAAATATACAGCTGATCGCATACATACCAAAAAAATAAATTCTTAAATAATTGTTCAAAAATATTACTATATTAAATATATTACTATAAATCTGAAATGTTATTTAAAAAATAAACCATACTTACAGTATATACACAGTCTACTGTGCAACTTTTCTGACATAAAATTAAAATAATTACTAAACTAAATATTTGTATCAGTATTGAAAAACATTGGTCATATTGGTTGGTGTGCTGTCTATAAACTCGGCCAGATTTGGTTCTGTTACATGATCCTGTTGTATGCGCAAACGTGAAAAGTGTTTTGCTCTAGAGACGCAATAGCAGGTATTTTTCCAGACTGACATAGCAACACAGGCAGAAAGGCTTGTTTGAATGTCCTATTTAACAGCCTTCAAGAAGTAGATTTACAAGCAATTACGAACTTTAACCACTGATGATTATGAAAGTTTAAACTTTACTATAAGCCTTATTCTGCCAGCTCAAATTAATCAACCGAGAAATGACAGTAATTTTTGCTTTTGTATATGTCTGCGAGTGGAAACTTTTAATAAAAGCCAACGTAGAACGGAAAGGAAAGGAAAGGAAAGGAAAGGAAAGGAAAGGAAAGGAAAGGAAAGGAAAGGAAAGGAAAGGAAAGGAAAGGAAAGGAAAGGAAAGGAAAGGAAAGGAAAGGAAAGGAAAGGAAAGGAAAGGAAAGGAAAGGAAAGGGAAAGAGGAAAGGGAAGGAAGTAGTAAATGACAATAAGAAAGGAAAGGAAACAGAAAAGGCAATGAGGAAAGAGAAAAGGGAAGGAAGTAGTAAATGACAATAAGAAAGGAAAGGAAACAGAAAAGGCAATGAGGAAAGAGAAAAGGGAAGGAAGTAGAAAATGACAATAAGAAAGGAAAGGAAAGCAGGAAAGACGAAAAGAAATGGAAGTAGTAAATGACAGCAAAAAAAAAAATAAGAAAAGGAAATGAAGGTAAAAAGAAAAAAAGAGGTAAAGGAAATGAAGTAGTAAACGACAGTAAGAGATCATACAAAGATGTAGAGCAGTCAGCCAGTGTCAGCAGAGTCTGCACTGGTTTAAAAGCATACAAGCCAATTACTGTGCACAATTACTCTACAACACACACCACTTCCTTTAACGCGCAAGTCTAATTTTCTAATGTCCTACTAACAGGTCTCTTAGTAACACTGACTTGCATTACTCTACAACCTACAGAGCTCCTTTTTCTCTTCTGGATCTTATTAATCATTTAGCATCCTGAATGATGAGATCTTTTAAATCCTTATGAGTGTTATACATTCAGCTGGGCTGGGACTGATCGCTCATAGAAAATTGCTAGTTTTTAAAAGAAATTATAAATGGTATCCAAGAACTATCTACCCTGACCCGTGCTTCTCATTCTGACTCTTCTTTCTGTCCAGGTACTGTATAAAACCATTGTGTATTCATGAAACATTTATCATTGCTTACTATAAGTCTGCGAGTGGAAACTTTTAATAAAAGCCAACGTAGAACGCTGTAGGGAGGAACAATCAAATCAACTCTAACCACATTCCATGTCACTTCCATTGAACGGCGCTCTGTGATTTATGAGGGGGGATTTTGGAAGCAACTGGACACTATTTAACACTTACTAACTAGGGATTCAGATCCCCTTGAAGGTGTTTACTGTGGAAGATCAAATCATATTGTCACTTGAGCATCACATCAACACCTCTACTCATCAAGCACAAAGAAAACCCATGAAGTACTACATTCATACTACTGTATTAAATCCTTTTTTGGAACCTTTAACTCAGACTCAAATACGGTCAGGATCTGCCTTATGTCTACAGCCATAAACATTGATGTTAACCTAAATGCTTCTGGCACTGACTGCTGACTAGGAAAAGGTCAGGCTTGCATCAAGAACTTGGACGCACAGGGAGGAAGGAAGATTTTACACATGCAAACCTCAGAAGAAAGGCCTAACAGCAGGTGTTGACAACACTGACAGCAGCACATCCAGTCTTCCTTTTCCCAGGCAGGAAGACTTACGTGTCATTGATGCATAGGCAACACCTCACTCACGTCCCCTGGCAGAAAGTAAAGTCTTCGCTTAGGAATGACTTGGACTCCCATTACAGGGCCCAAAAAGCTGATCAGCTGTGTGGGAGTTTGAAAGAGAAGACAGCGCATCCACACCTCCTCTCGAAAGGGATCTTACTTTGGAATTCATTAACATTCCACATAGGTTTGCTGTACATTTCCTGGGAGCCGGACACGCCAAAGCAAACAAAGAACGCATCTGAGGAAGGAGGGAGAGAGAGAGCGGGTGAGAGGAAGAGAAAGGGGAGACGACCGTTGAATGGAAAAACATATCCGCTACATTCAAGCCTTTAGCATCTCTAGTTTTTCTCAGACTCGAACGGTTATGTCTCAAACATCGATAATGAGGTCTACTCAGTGGGGACAGAGATGGGCAAATCTGTCGCCCTAACTTCCAAACCAAACGCAGCGAGGGGGCTGGGGTTGTTGGGTCAAGATGGAAATAAGTCATCAGTGATGGAGAAAAGGGCTTCCTGAGCATCCGGCTACTAAGGGAAAGCATATTTACATTTAGAAAGTCTGTTTTCCATCGATTAGAGATGGAGAGACGGGTGCATCACGTTGTCCCTAAGTGAACCGCAAACCATTACCTTGATGAAAATGGGGCTCCAAAAGCAGAAGTTTGGGAAAGCTAAGTGGTAGAAGATGTTTGGCGACATCGATTTGTGCATCAATACTCATGACTCAAAACCCCGGCCCACCCCAAAACGCACACACACTCACAACCAAATAAACAACCCACAAAAAAGCCTGATTGCAGATGTCCTGAACGAACCCTCGGAAAGTCTAGAAGCATGTGTGTCTGAGTAAACCTGAACCGGTTCCTGTGTGCCGTTCTTCTCCCACATGAGACGAGAAAACATCCGATGCCACAAGCAAGGTAAACGGATAACACAATGCAGACGTCACTCCTCGTTTCAGCAAACAAAAGCCTAACATGGAGCGAGCCCTCAGCCCGCGGCTGCTTTCCAGTCTCATTAATCCAGTCTGTGTCTGTTTGTGCATCCCAAATTACAGCCTGCTGAAGTCTTAATATGCAACCGCCACCGTCGCCCCAGCAACAAACATCGTGGCCGCACAGGCCTGGAGTTCGTACCTTCCCCCCGCGCCATCTGATTCCGCTCCAGCCTCCGCTGCTGGCACCTACCCCTTTCCAAAACCTCATGTTCTGATCTTGTCAGCCCCATGTCGAAATAATTAGGCCTCGGTCTGGACCTCCAAAATTCTGGTTTTGATTCTATGAAATCAAGCCGCCTCAAGACTATAAGCTCAGACCCACTTTGATAATCGCTCTCCAGGAAGACTGAAGAAATTAAGGTCTTCAGACCACTGTTGTAAACTGTGGCAGAAAGTGCTGGGAGTATCCCAGTCTCTGTTCCTACCGAGGGTCCACCTAACCTTTCCAGTACGCTAGAGAGGTAGTTTTCCATCAGGACCTAGAATTCACATTGGGCATCAACTGGCAAGCCAACGTTGTACCAAAATGGTTTGTCATACAAAAGTCGACAAAAAATGTATTGAAAGAAGAATTCTAAGTTTAATACAAGTTCAAATGACATCACTTGTGCTAATGTGTTACCAAAAAAATTAATTCAACTCTTAATTTCTCGTGAACGTGCATCGAAGACTGACACGGAAGAGAAGAAATGGTTGAATAAAGTCCCTATTTGTGTTTCCTTTGTGCACAAAAAGTATTATCGTAGCTTCATAAAATTAAGGTTGAACCACTGATGTCACATGCAGGGGCGCCGCTAGCAATTTTGGGCCCTATGAAAGAATATGAGGTTGGGCCCCCTACCGCACCAAACATACACTATATTGCCCAAAGTATTGGGACCCCGCCGCCCCTTCTAATGAACAGGTTTGACTACTTTAGTCATTTCCACGAGTACAAATCTTAAAGGGATTATTCTAGGGAATTGTGTGCTTCTAATTTTATACCAATGGTTTGAACAGGACTCTTTTCTATTCTAACACAACAATGCCTCTTTGTATAAGGCAAGGTAAAAAAAAAAAAAAGATTGATTCAGTCAGTGTGGAAGAACTTGACTGGTCTGCATAAAGCCAAGTCCTAATCCCAGCTGAACACCTCTGGTGTGACTTTAAATGCAGACCTTGAGCCAAAAACTCATCACCAAACTCACCCACAGACATTCATAGGTTCATTTTGAGGTATTAGCAAAATAACAAAGATAATGCTTTTCACGGAATTTACGTAATTACCCATTATACATTGTGATATAGCCTGGTTCGTTGGTCCGTTAGATCGGATTGCTTTCTCACTACAACCGAACCGCTCCAGAGTTCGTTTTCAATCGAGCCAAGACCACCTCGTTCAGGCGATCTCGGACCGATTGTTTTGGCGCGGATCCGAGCGCGATTGCCGTGTTCACATATGGCCAAACGAACCCTAAGGGGGGAAACACGCCAGGTTCCGAAACAACGGGCCAGGTGTGAAAGCACCCTAACACTATATTAACACTAAAATATTGTTAACATGCATACGTCCTATGGCTATATGTTTGAAACACAGTATTAAAACATTTACAGATTGACCCTGATTTCACTTACATTGTAAGTGCTTCACTGTAACCTAGATTTGAAAATGTTGAAAATTTGTGTTGTAATACTTTGCCACAAGTGATGTTGATTGTACTGTTGATTGTACTTGTACTGAACCTAAAATGTTCTTTTTTCAAAATCAAATCATTCAAACATTTAAACCGGGCTTAGGCACTTGGGCTGTAGAAATGTTTTCAAATAGCAGGAGATGCAAGAGTCCACTAAACCAAACAGACCTGCGTCACACTAAGAGCTTCAGAAAGTGCCATCAGTGCATGTGTCATACCTAGGTGTGAAGATGGAGTTGTGCAGGAAGTTCTCGAAGACTTTTCGATAAGATCTGTCTTCAGCTTCCGCCTTTAGGTCCTCCTTGGTTTTTGGGCAGGGGCAGCAGCCCTTCTCACCCCCACCAACATCTGATTTGGTGGGCTTTGTTTCGCCTTCCATGTCCGACAAAGCCGTGGCTGAGATGCGGATGGGAATTTTTAGCTCTGTAGTCCAAAACAATGACACAGACTGAGCTGATTGAGCAACAACAACACAAGCTTCACACATTTTGTAAATATAGTTATTGTACATTTCTCTGGAATACCTGAAGGTTAGTGGAGGTGATGAGGGTACATTAATGGTGCACACTTACCTTTAGAGCAGTAGTTATGCTGGTAGAGTTCATGGTCTTCTGTCTGCTGCTGCCAGCGGAGCAGGTACAAGGTTTTGTTTCCATTGGGAGAGATGGGAGGAGACCACTTCACCATCAGGGACGAGGAGGAGTTGGCATATGCGCGGGCATCGAGGGGCATTGACGGCGCTGTGGAATTGCAAGAGATTAGTTGGCGTAATAAGTCTAATTGTAGATTGGGTACTGGATATTGGAGGGATAGTGGTGATGCCCACCTGATGCATTGGTGCGGATATAGACCACCTCACTCTTAGCCCCCAGAATGTGCTTGTCCTCTACAACCAGGGTGACGGCTTTCACAAAGATGGCATATTGTGTCCAGGGTTTAAGAGAAGACAACAATACTCCTGGGTCTGAAGATTTGTCCTGAGGAAGGTCTACATCCACCATGTTCCAGCTATTTGAGCCACATCCATCTTGTCCGTCAAATTCTGTTATGTTCTGGAATGGTCTACATCGAGACAACAGCGCACAAATGCACATTTATATAATGCTTTATCACAACCCTCAAGCTGCTAATAAACGATGTAAATAATATGTCTATAATAGTAACTTCTGGCAGTCTGATACTTACGCCTCCTTGTAATACACAATGAAGCTGATGAGGTCTCTGTAGTCAGGCGGTCGATATCGCTCCCAAGTGAGCTTTATCCGAGTACTCTGAGTGTGGTTGGATTTGAACTTTAGAATATAACTCTCACCTAGAAGAGGGGTCATAAGAGAGATTTAACTAAAAGCACCCATAAGAGTTCTTCAACTTGAATGTAAGACTGTGCCATGGCCTTTCCATCTTTCATGAGCTTCTAGGAATCAGAGTGGTATTAGAAAAGGCACTTCTGTTAATGTCTCACCAGTCTAGAGTCAGAGCAATTATGTTCTGAGGAAAAAATATGAATAAGCCATCGTCATTGTTCTTCGAAGCAAATTCGCTCTGTACAGAAATCTGTCAAACACATAATAGAGCAGGTACAGAAGAACAACTGGGACACCTTGTGATCAAAATGCATTTTAAGAGTCTTGAGTGATGTCTTTGTAGAAACATAATACTGTCGTCTACCAACCTGTTCTCACTTACAAATGCCACTGCATTATATAACAGAATATCAAACCAATAAAATGTATTTACAAGAAAAACTGCACAAGCAAACTTTCCCTTTTTTAAAACCTTTCAGTTTTTCAGGTTTCAAACTATAGTTATACTGTTTAAAATGTATTTGGACGCTTTCTTAGAACTGACTCCATACATCTATTAAAAATTCTCTAGAGACCAGTAGGTTAAAAGTAATTGCAAAAATGGCTCAGTTTTAAGTTACGTCTGAGAAAAGCTCTAGCACTGTGTTTGCAGAGGCCACTTGAATTTATATTTTGTTATTAATGCAATATATATTTTAAGAGTCAAATAATGTCAATTTAAAAACAATATTATATTGGAATAATTATCCTGATACGTATGTATATATCTCATTACATATGTATCTAAATACACTGAACAAAATTATAAACGCAACACTTTTGTTTTTGCCCCCATTTTTCATGAGCTGAACTCAAAGATCTAAGACTTTTTCTATGTACACAAAAGGCCTATTTCTCTCAAATATTGTTCACATATCTTTGGTTATGCAAACCGATTGTTGCAGTAGCTGTCCGGGTGGCTGGTCTCAGACGATCTTGGAGGTGAAGATGCTGGATGTGGAGGTCCTGGGCTGGTGTGGTTACACGTGGTCTGCGGTTGTGAGGCCGGTTGGATGTACTGCCAAATTCTCTGAAACGCCTTTGGAGACGGCTTATGGTAGAGAAATTAACATTCTATTCACGGGCAACAGCTCTGGTGGACATTCCTGCAGTCAGCTCGTCAATTGCACGCTCCCTCATAACTTGCGACATCTGTGGCATTGTGCTGTGATAAAACTGCACATTTTATAGTGGCCTTTTATTGTGGCCAGCCTAAGGCACACCTGTGCAATAATCATTCTGTCTAATCAGCATCTTGATATGCCTCACCTGTGAGGTGGATGGATTATCTTGGCAAAGGAGAAGTGCTCACTAACACAGATTTAGACAGATTTGTGAACAATATTTGAGAGAAATAGGCCTTTTGTGTACATAGGAAAAGTCTTAGATCTTTGAGTTCAGCTCATGAAAAATGGGGGCAAAAACAAAAGTGTTGCGTTTATAATTTTGTTCAGTGTATATGAATATTTGAACAGAACATTTTAAACTTTTTCCTTTGGGTGATGTGAGTCCTGTGAATTATCTTGTAGTGTATTAGTTGTAAATTTGTATTGCTAGTCATGGAAAAGGTATTATTACAAATTTCCTTTTAGAGGTCGGGATTGGGGGAGAAAGCCAAATCATTTTCCCAGTTGGCCATTGGTAGTGCTACTGTTGAATCCGTATTGGATATACATTTATGAAGTTTAGATATTAGTGTAGTGATGTCATTAGTTATATTAATCTTGGATTTAACTATGGATTTTATTTGTTGATATTGGAGAAACTGTTCTCCCCAAAGGCCGTATTTCTATACTAGTGAGTTAAATGGTATAAATAAGAGTTGTGAATAAAAATGTCCAATTACTTTGTCAAATGCTTTTTCAGCATCTAATGATACAATCACGATTTTGGTATGTTTTTGTTTTGGCAAAACTAATTAAACTGAATAATCTATGGGTGTTATCTGAAGCATTTCTGTGTTTGATAAAACCTGTATGATCATGGTGGATTAACATCGGATAAATGTTTCTATCCTAGTAGCTAGAGCTTTGGTAATGATTATTACATTTGTATTTATCTACGAGAGAGGGCGGTAACTAGTGGGATAAACTTGGTCTTTGTTTGGATGTAGTTATTATTTCTGTGACTACTATATGAAATAACAGAAATAAAATTAGCCAGAAGTGTTTAGAGAATTCGTCTGGGAGTTTATCAGGTCTGGGTGATTTGTTGTTTGGTATTTTTATCTAATACTTTATGGAGTTCATCAGGAGTAAGTGGGGCATCTAGTGCATGCCTATTCAATTGATATAGTTCGTAGTTTTACTTCTTTTAAAAAATCTGCAAATTTTGCTGAAGGCAGTGGCAGAGTATCACAGGAAACACTTCATCTACTCACAGCTTGCTCGTTCTCCATTGCTACGAGCATCGTCCTCTTCCATCTTTTCCTTAACACCGGTCTTCTCCCACATTTTCTGGATCTCAGACATGCAAAGCTTGGGATTGAAGCGGAAGAACAATTTCCCAGCTCTAATGGTCAGATTGTGCTGACTCCAGTCCCACAGATACTGCAAGTTCTGGTTGTCGACTGCAGAGAATGCATACGACCTGTAATAGGAAAACACACATACCCAAACAACGAAGTATTAAACACTACATTTCTTATCTTTAATGTAAGAAAAATCTAACCAAAGAAAGGAATGACGATGATCAGATCTATACACATGACGAATGCGATATGTGTGAAAACAACAACTGAAGCGTGTGCACAGATTGTGTTTCATTAAAGCACGCATGGCTCAGAAGAGGGTTAGGATGACTTCTGCAGCTGCACCCGACTGAGTTGCACTGAACACCTCAGGAACGTGGAGAATGTCTGAGCTGCTTACAAGCATTCCTCAAGATGAAACTCAATCCTAGTGAGATCACAACAAAAAAGTTCCCACAGCCTCCCTCTGACATCCTCCATAAAACACTGACACCATGTGAGGAAAAATGAGTCAGATAGCAGATAGTGATTAATAGAAAAAGTGTGTGTGTGTGAAATCACTTCTTGTATACTTCTGTGCATATACATATATTAGCTGAATCTCTCGACTTCAGCTTTACGACCCTGAGCTGTACATTACATTAAAGCTGACATTTTATTACTTTCAGCCATTCCTATGGAAACCTTTGAAGAAATATGTTACAATCGGAGGACTGTGAAGGACACAGAGTCCTGCACGCAATACTCATGTTCTTCTTTTTGTTTCAGACATGAGACTATGTTGCAACGTGACTACCATGCTGGAGTTTTAGAACATGATCGCTTCTGATCATCTTTGAACAGCAACAAATCATAATATTAGAATGATTTTTTTAAGGATCATGCGACTTTGAAAACTGGAATAATGGTTGCTGAAAATTCAGCTTTGCCATCACAGAAACAAATTACATTTTAAAATATAATAAAATAGAAAGTTATTTTAATTGTAATAATATTTAACAATATATATATATATATTTTTGATTAAATAAACAGAGCTTTAATGAGTTTTTTTTTTTTTTTTTTTTTTTTTTACAGGAATCAGTCATATATTTTTCCCTCATCTGATGAGGAAACTTTAAGCTGAAATTATCTCCACATAAGTGGAATCAGGCTGTTATACCATTTAAGACGACACAAATGATTCTAACAGTTCTAAGCAGGCCAACAAATAACTGGTGTTCAATGAGACGTATAGCATGCATACAGCACCTGTTTTGCAGGCTAATTCTGTTCTGTACACAATCAAACATCGAAATACCATGACAATCGTTATGTGCTTTAAAGTCTTACTGCTCTGTGAACTCTTCTCCATGAATGTATCGCAGGCTCTTGAGGAAGGACAGAGAGCCCAGAGTGTGAGAGTGTTTGATCTTTACATATCCAGTCACTGTCTGGATCAGGCCCATGAAACTCTCCAGCTCTGATGCAATGTTATCTGGGGAAACAGAGAGAGAGCGAGAGAGACAGTGTGAGAAGAGAGACAGACGGACAGAGAGAAAGAGATATGACACTGGAGCAACACAAACCAAATCCCACAGGACACACAGTGTCTGCACTAACTCATCACTTCATCAGTGTGAGTGATACATGTGCGGCAGCAACTGTCCCATATCAAACCACTAAGAGCTTTAGCAGCTCATACTAAAAAAATACATGAGCCTTATTGTGTCACACCAGGAAAAAACATGTCAGTTAATAAATGGTCCCCCCAGTGTTTGACCAATAATTTTCAGGACCCCAAATTTTCCCAAAGTGATTTTAATTTGTGCATCAGGTACCAGTCTTTGGAAAAACAGATATATATTTAGTGCACATTTTTTAAATAATTAACTGGATTTTATATTGTCATTATATTAAATGAAAACACATTTTAAAAAATATTTTCTGTAAAACAAGTATATTTTACACACTTTTCATTTCAACTTTCTTTAAATGTTCACACTAAATATTGTTCCAAAGCACTGTTAAAAAAATACTTTCAAGAGCTTAAAAATACTAATATTTTAAGTTAACATGTAAACTTTGAAACCAGTAAAAAAAATCTTTTCTCTCAAATTTAGTTTTTCAAAACTCAAAGAATATGTACCAATGACAAAATGTAACATGGTTTTTAGTGAAAACACAATTAAGTTTTATAATAATAAAAAAAAATAATCTAGCAAATTAAATATTTTAGAGCAGAGCACAAAGAATTACTATAAAAATTGACTAGACATGTATATATATTCTCTGACAGGTTTTCCATGACTGTGGGAACTCTGAATAATATATGTGACCCTCGACCACAAAACCAATAATAAGTAGCACGGCAATAGCCAAATAGCAATAGTCAACTATACATTGTATGGGTCACAATTATCGATTTTTCTTTAATGCCAAAAATCATTAGGATATGAAGTAAAAATCATGTTCCATAAAGATATTTTATAAATTTCCTACCGTAAATATATAAAAACTTAATTTTTGATTAGTAATATGCATTGGTAAGGAATTCATTTGGACAACTTTAAAGGTGATTTTCTCAATATTTAGATTTTTTGCACCCTCAGATTCCAGATTTTCAAATAGTTGTATCTCAGCCAAATATTGTCCTATCCTAACAAACCATACATCAATGGAAAGCATATTTTTAAAAAATTGACCCATATGACTGGTTTTGTGGTCCAGGGTCTCATATTTGTATAAAAATAGGGAGAGGCACAAATATTGATGCAATGGCTCAAGCTTGGGTCTGTCATTTGTCTAGAAATGAGAAACACCTTATCACTGCGGGTTGTGGGAGAGGAGGGTGAGAGCGAGGGTACTTACTGCCCCGTCGGATGTTGATGTGCAGGTTGCCTTTGATGACTGTGCAGCCCTGCAGGGACTGAGCAGCATCCACCGAGTCAATTGTTTTAGATTCGCAGACCTTATCGCACAGTCCGTCACATGCGCTACAAAACATACTGCAGGTGGGAGAGAGAGGCAGAAGAAGGGAGAGTGAGTGTCAAGGACAGATCACAGCCACACACACAGACTCCAAACAGGCAAACGCCAGTGAACCGTGACAGGATTATTGTGTCTCACCAAAACATGAAGCATATTTAAGGCCTGTTTTTGACAAATACAAGGTCACTGCTTTATGAGGTCTTTGTGCTTAACAGAGTCCTCGCCTGAACCCTGGGTTTTATGTGAAAGGAGGATCATTAAGTCAGCAGTGAGGCAAAACCAGGTCTGGTCAATTTACAAAACAGGCTCAACATGTAAAAAGTTACATGGAAAAGTAAATGAAGTGATTTTTCTGTTAATATTTTACTTGAAAAGTACAGGTGTCCAAGTAAAGTCCAAGGTGTTGTAATTACAGTCTCCTTTACCCAGTTTAAACACATATTTCACCTCAAGAAACGGTTTCCAGTATGGTTATGTGCCACCTGAAAGTAAACAGTCCTGAATTTTGAGATCATAAATCTCAATCTAAACCTTCAAATTAGCACATAAATCCTAATGGCAGCATAAATAACAGCTTTAGAACAATTAAGATGTTCATATGGTGTATAAAAGGGTTGTAGAAAGTGTACACAGGTTTGGCTTGGTGTTAATAATGGAGCCACTATCTACAGAGAACAGGCAGGGCGGCTGTTGTTTATGACCAATTCTGTGGTAACATTTCCCATTTTAGCTTTATGGATTTATAAATGAGAATTCAAGAGGAACATGTTAATCTAATCTCGCAAATCACGTTGCTAATGTGATGATATTGCACGGTTAGATCATTATCACAAAATAAACCCTGACGGCAGTTACACAAAAACATTTTACCACACAATGCTGTGATCAACCAGTCAGAATTAAGTATTCCGAAGGGCCATGTTTTGTTATTTTGTATCGTTCAAATGACTCACTAAATAAGTTAGAGTGGTTACTGAACTGACTCGCTTACTGAACCACAAGCCACTTCTGACTCGAAATGAACAAACAACTGTTATTTGTGACTGGTTCTCTATTTTGCGACATATTTAAAAAAAAAAATTTGCTAAACTTCTTGGTAATACATTTATTTTGAATGCCTTTTTTCACAATAACAGTGTTTAGTTTTACAAAACATTTTTAAAATAAACATTATTTTATTAATAAAAATATTAATCTGTATGACAAAATGAAGTTTTTATTTAGTATATAGTTAAGAATATATTATTTAGTATGCAGTAATGATAGCTTATTTTAGAGTTACATTTTTTATAATTAATATTTTGAATGAGCTTTTTTATTTTTTATATTTAATTTTAAATTGAAAGCTGTGGTAATTTTATTATGTGCTTTTGTCATTTTGATTAGTTTTTTGTATTTCTATTTATCATTAAATTAAGCTAAATAGAAGTTTATTTCAGTTTTAGTTTTTGTAATTGTAATACTTAAACTTATTTTATTTCAGTTAAATGTCAAATTCAAAATAATCATTTCTAATTTTAATTTATGTTTTTTAAATTTAAAATTTTCACCCAATATTTATATTTTATTTCAGCTTTATTTCAGTTAACCCTTTAGGCGCCAGGGATTTTTGGGAAAAATGCTGGATTTTGACATCAAGATTTCAAAAGCTTGTGGCTTGAAAGGGCTTAAAGATAGAGATCTACTGTAAATTCGAAAAATGTTGGGCATGACCGAAAGTTTATGTGGGGTGTAAATATACTCATCTAATTAGCATATTATGACGTCATCAGAGGCGGCCATCTTGAATTTCATAATATTCAGGAAATAGTAGATATTGAATTGATGTTTGAACTTATTTGCATGTTTTTTTATCCTCATTCCAAATGATCAGAAAAGAGGAAACCAACAATAAAACAGGAGAAAGTGCTAAATTATTACTATA